GCACGTATGCATGCACGTATGCATGTACATACACATAGAAAAAAATCATGTCCTGTTATGGTAGAATTGTGTGATGCTTTTTCTCTAACTTTGCCTTATCCTGTTAGGTGAAATTATTATAGTTTAATAGGAAGTAATTAAGTACTGTAGTTTACAAGGAAGTAAAGCTAACTTTTCATCCTACTTTGACACTCAAAATACTGACCTTGCCTTCTACCTCCTTTGTCCTTGAGACCAAGGATCTTTTTCCTTCAACCTCTCCTTAATAACCAACGTCTAGAGGGCCAGTAGTTTTTCTTTGGTTGTCCTGCCCTCTGCTGGATTAATTTGAAAGGAGATAAGCTTTGGCCACATGAACTTCTGTAAAAGGCACATTCCCTGAAAGGGGGCGTGATCGGAAAACCGGATTTCCTTTGGCTATTTTTTCTCTAAAAATCATATCCAGGAGCTCTCCAAGTATGAGATTGGAAGATTCCTGAGCAATGTTACTGTCTGGTTTAGAGGTTAGAAGTTGTCTGTGTGAAGGTCTGCTTGAGTTTCTTCTTTGCTTCCAAGACAGGATCTCTTTTGTGCCCCAGGCTGATCTGGAACTCCCAATTTTGTTCCACAGGCTCCTGAATGTCAGGATTATAGGAAAACAACACTCCACCTATACTGTTTGAGTTTCTTTATGTACATATGGTGGAGAGATGGGAAAGAGACCTTATTTTTATGGTGTTTAAAAAATTCCTAGACAACTTTTTGACGCAAAAAAAAAATTCCTAGACAAATTCATCTTTAGCAATTGACAGTTTTTTGTTTTTGTTTTTGTTTTGTCAGTCATGGGGATTGAACTCTGGGCCTGGGTGCTGTCCTTCAGCTCTTCAGCGCAAGGCGAGCACTCTACCACTTGAGCCACAGGGCCACTTCCAGTTTTCTGGTGGTTTATTGGAGATAAGAGTCTCACGGACTTTCCTGCCCGGGCTGGCTTTGAACCATGATCCTCAGATCTCAGCCTTCTGAGTAGCTAGGATTACAGGCATGAGCCACCCGGTAGCAATTGACAGTTTTATCAGTTTGTTAACAAGAGATCAGCTTATGATTTGGGTCATGGAAATGGACTAATTATATAGCTGTAATACATGTATAAGCAAGCAATTCCTTAACAAACCCCTTCTTGAGTAGGCAAAGATTGCAGTTTCAGGTCTAGGCTGTACCTCTCCTGTTCAACATGTATGAGGCCATGGATTCAATCTCCAACATCACCACCCCACAAACAAAAACAGATATACTAATCCAGTTTGTTACAGAGAAAATATGGATGAGGAAGGCAAGCCGGGGCATGGCTGTCAAACAGAGATTTTAAAAGTCTGTATTGATCTAGTGATGTGGCTCAAGTAGTAGAGTACCTGTCTAGCAAAGAGTGAGAGTCTGAATTCAAAAGTTCAGCACTGAAAAGAAAGTAAAACAAAATCTGATATGTCTAAAGCTAAGGATGAAGATGTATAGATTTCTCAAGGGCAGTGCTTGTGATCTGATTTATGTGGCTGCATAAAACACAAGCACAGCCATAAATAACAAGCTCTGACTTGAAACAGGCTGGTAGGCACCAGGGATTTTCTCAAGCAGCAAGCAATATAGATAGATTACAGCTCCTGCCCTCGTGTCTCTCTCCCTTCTTTCTTTCCTTCCTCCCTCTCTCCCTCCCTCCCTCCGACCCTCCGTCCCTCTCTTTCTTCCTCTTTCCTTTCCTTCCTTCTTTATTTCTGCAGTAGGAGGGTTTGAATTCAGGTCCTTATACTCTTATACTTGCTAGGCAGGCACTCTATCATGTGAGCCACTCCAGAAACCTTTTTGGTGTTGGTTATTTTTTGACACCTGGGCTGTCTTGGACTGTGATCCTCTTATTTGTGCTTCCCTGCACTACTGTGATGAGAAACAGTCCTCCTCCATTGGTTGGAAGGTGTCTGACCATGTTTGCCAGAGGTGGCCTCAAATTGTAATCCCTTGATCATTGCCTACCAAGTAGCTTTGGTTATAGGCTTGAACCACTGTTCCTGGACTATTGTCACATTTAATACTCTCTTTCTCTCTCCTTTCCTTTCCTTCTTCAATGTTTTAGAAAGGTTTTATTTTTGCATGTTCATAAGAAAGAGTGCTGATGATTCAGGAAAGCAAAGATTATGAATAAATATTAGTACAAATTCCATCACCAAGATGATGCTAGGTGACCATCATTGTAAATAGCTCTATGGATACATACAAATAGGAGATAAGATGGTAGCTAGATCGAACAGGTTCATAACATTTTTTATTTTATTTTTTGTAGGTATTGGGGCTTGAACTCAGGGCCTCACACTCTCCCTTGCTTTTTTTCTTCTTGAGGCAGACACGTTAACACTTAAGCCATACCTTTACTTCTAGCTTTTTGCTAGAAGTAAATTGGACTTGAGTTTCATGGACTTTTCTGCCCAGGCTGGATTCAAACTGTGATCTTCAGATCTCAGCCCCTGAGTAGCTAGGCTTACAAGTGATAATTTTTACTGAAAATCTTCAGGTCATATATATTTTGAAATTTGGAATTTTTCGTATTTTGGAAAGGTTATGGTAGTATATATTATATATTAATATATTATGTGAAATTATTATATAAGCAATATTATATATTTTATTACTACTGAAAGACTGCAGCACCTGGATCATGTCCTTTGTCTTTATGGTCTTGAATAATGAGTACACAAACAGAGGAAGAAGAAAAAAAACAAGGATTTATTGAAGAAAAAGATAAGCAGATCTCCTGCTAGACAGGAGGGGTCCCAAGGGAGACCTTGGGGGGTGTTGTGCAGGAGTTAATATGGTATCTCTAGGAGAGAGCTATATTACTCTTGAGATCATTGGACAGCCTGTGAACCATATCAGTCCCTGGAGTCAATCAGAGGCTGCATGAAGCTTGTGTGAGCTCTCCTTGCATCATTTAATCCACCCCTCTCCCCCTCGGTCTGGGTACTAAGTTTGGAGCACACCACTGAGGTCCAATCAGTCTGTTGTTCATATACAAATCTTCCAGAGGCAACAGGCCATGATGTGATGCCAAAGGGCCTGCATTCACCACTGGTCAAGGCTATAGTGATATGTTTAGGGGTCAGCATACAGGACTGTTTGGGTCCATGGTGAAGGACACAGAACCTGTATGGGAGGGGACCTTTGCACTGCTTATCAGTAATTTTTACTATCAAGCTTCTATATATGCATAAGTATCCCCCCTAATCAGAACAAAATTAATATACAACTAAGAAAAATGATTGCAAGATATGATTTATAAAGAAAATGAGAGCCAGGTGCTGGTGACTCACACCTGTAATCGTAGCTACTCAGGTGGATGAGATCTGAGGATCATGGTTCAAAGCCAGCCTGAGAAGGAAAGTCTGTGAGACTCTTATCTCCAATTAACAACCAGAAAACCACAAGTGGCCTGTGGCTCAAAGTGGTAGAGAACTAGTCTTGAGCAAAAACTGCTCAGGGACAGTGCCCAGACTCTTAAATTCAAGCTCCATGACCTACAAAACAAACAAACAGAAAAGAAACAGAAAAAAAATGAGTTGTTTCCAGCAACTCAGAAACAAAATTATTGGGTAAACATGTATCATATCTACCATATTTACCAAAATATAATGGGAACAACAAATGGAAATTTGTGAAAGGCTAGAGGAACCCCATGGATAAGAGTAAAATGCATCACGTCAGTGCCACCACTCACTGTATACTTGGGAGGCTGAGATCGGAGGATTGTGTTTCAAGATTAGCCTGAACAGAAAGTTTAACAGAACCCTTTTCAACTGAACTGGGTTCAGTGGTGTGGGCTGTAATCTCCAGCTATGTGGGAGGCTGAGACTGGATGGATCACAGTTTGACTGGCCTAGACATAAATATGAATTTGTTTCTATAGAAGGAAGCTGGATGTGGTCCTGTCATCCCAGGGACAAAGGGAAACCTAAAATTGGCAGATTGGGGCTTCCTTGGCAGAAAGATCCCCCAAGATTTTCCTATCCTTAATTCCTCAGTATGATTCTAAGGAGATTGGCAAAACCTGATGGTGGAGAGTTCAGATTTCAGGAGCTGCCAGAGATCAGTCTACATTGTCTCCTTACAAGCAGCCAGGTAAGCTGGGACTTCAATAAAACATTTTAAATGGCCTTCATTTTATTTGTCACTACTAATTTAATAATGTAAGGTTTAAAGCCTACTAAAAGAAATCTCAACACGCCTTTTATACATTTGCATATTTTTCAGTAGTTGTACCACTCCAGTGAAACTTTTTCCAACTTAATAGGTTTTACTTGGAAATGCTATAAATAATTTACCTCTTTCTAAGATGTGAGTATACAAATTCTGATTGGGTCACAAACATTTTACAGTTAGGTTGATTCAGCTGTTTTATTTATTTTATGTGCCAGTCCTGGGGCTTGAACTCAGGGCTTGGGAGTTGTCCCTGAGCCTCTTTGTGCTCAAGACTAGAGCTCTCCCACCTGAGCCACAGCGCCATCTCCAGCTTTTTCTAAGTAGTTTATTGGAGATAAGAGTTTCATGGACTTTCCTGCCTGGGCTGGCTTTGAGCCTCAGCTCTTAACTACCTGAGTAGATAGGATTACAGGCGTGAGCCATCAGCCCACGGTGTTTCAGCTATTTTAGTTTGAAATTTTAATTAATTAATTAATTAATTTTAGTTTGTGAAAAACAAACACACACATAAAACAACTCTTCTTAGAGACTGGCTAGCATTCTATTTCAAGTGTATTCATCTCCCAACACAGTATTGTAAATTCAGTCCCCTGGCCAGTAGGCCCTCCCCCATTGCCCAGCTCTACAGCTGATCAGCTAACTGCATCACGTGTCAAGAGAAGGCCTGATTTCCAACCCAGCCCCTTGAGGCCCCGCCCCTGTTTGCCCCGCCCCTAAGATCCGGACGTCTCTGGCCTCCTGGGCCAGAGGCAGGCGCCGGGCGGAAGTGACGTACAGACGACCGCCGGAGGTGTCGTTGGTGACTTGCGCGGCGGCGGCGTCTGGGAGGAAAGCGGGGCCTGCTCGGGAGCGATACCGCGATGTCGATCGAAATCGAGTCTTCCGAGTGAGTTCTGCGCTGGCGGGTGTTCGCTGCGTGGCGGGGCGCCCGGAAGTCAGTGCCGTGGGGTGGAGGGTCCTTGGGGGATTGCGTCCGTGCCCGTGGCGCGGGGTGGACGGCCGCTTCCTTGTCCTCAGGCGGTCGTGCACTACCCGGGCACCCTGGAGGCGGGCCGCGGGGAAGCCGCCCGCACCCGAGGCCCGGGGCGCCGGGCGGCGCGCGGCCGCGCTCGGTGCGGGCCGGGAAGGGCGCCCTCCCCTCGTACGGCCCGGGCTCCTCAGGGTCCCGGTTCCTTCCGCACACACCGCTGGCTCTGCGTCAGGAGCCCCCGCGTGGCACTTGTCGTTTGCTTGGAACATGGAGCCTGCAGGCTTCTGCAGCCATACACGAGAGACCCACCGAATCCGGAGGTCGGGCCCCAAGCATGACAATTGGGCGTCGGGCTGTAGAAAATGCTCAGTGGTGCTCTCCAGGACCCCACCCTCCACTGAGCCTTACCGCCGAACAGTTAGGTTTCCAGACAGAACTTCGCGTTTCTGAGTCTAAGGGAGGCCGAGGGTTTGTCCTGAAGATCCGCTACCAGCGGGAAGGGGGTTTTACTCTCTTACACGGAAGCCCATTAGGTTACTGTTTACGACGCTGGAAATAGAATAGGCAACATAGCAGACAAAAGCCCCTCGCCTTAGAGGATGTTTGTTTTGATGGGGAAAGCAACTAATACACAAGAAAATCAAGCAAAATAAAAGCTGTAACAGATTCTGATAGATATTGTAGAGAAACATAAAAGAAAGATGGTCAGGACGGCCACACAGGTTAAGATAACTAAGTTAAGGCAGGAGCTGGAAAAGGCTGTGTGTTTTGGAGTCCCTATGTTGATTTAACCAAACTTGAGCACCGTACTGTGGCAGCAGTGACTGAGGCATGTTCTTATAAGCAATAATAGCTACTATTCATTAACTAATTTCTTTCTTTCTTTCTTTTTTTTGTCGGCCATGGGCTAGAACTCTGAGCCTGAATGCAGCTCTTCAGCTCAAGGCTAGCGTACTACCACCTGAGCCTTTGCCCCACTTCCGGTTACCTGAGTGGTTTATTGGAGATAAGAGTCTTACGAAGGGCTGGGAAGGTGGCTCAGTGGTAAAGCGCTTGCCTTGCATGCCTGAGGCCCTGGGTTCGATTCCTCAGCACCGCATAAGCAAAAAGAAAAAAAAAGCCGGTAGTGGCGCTGTGGCTCAAGTGGTAGAGCACTAGCCTTGAGCTGAAGAGCTGAGGGATAGTGCTCAGGCCCAGAGTTCAGGCCCCACGACCGGACCCAAAAAAAAAAAAAGAGTCTCACGGACTTTTCTGCCCGAGCTGGCTTTGAACTAGGATCCTCAGATCTCAACCGCCTGAGTAGCTAGGATTACAGGCATGAGCCACCGACGCCCAGCTTCTTTTCTTTTTTTTTGGCAGTTGTGGTCCTGGGCACTGTCCTTGAGCTCTTCAGCTCAAGGCTAGTGCTCTAACACTTGAGCCACAGCGCCACGTCTGACTTTTTCTGCTTATGTGTTGCTAAGGAATCGAACCCAGGGCCTCATGCATGCAAGGCAAGCACTCTACCACTGAGCCACCTTCCCAGCCCTTATTAACTACTTTTTATACTAAACATTCTATAAGCAGTCTAGTCAATTGCTTTAATTTTTATTAAATGAATAAATGTACAAATTTGTGTCCCTGAGGAACTAGATTGCTCATTACTTGACAAAGTGTGTCAAATGAACATGGTATATTTTATTGTTGTTTTTGTTCTTTTAAGAAAATTTATATGCCAGTACTGGAGCTTGAATTCAGAGCCTCAATCTCTGGCACTCTACCACTTGAGCTACACTTCCACTTCAAATGAGATTTGAAACAGATCACATGAAGTGCATAAGTTGTATTTACTTTGTAGTTTTTTTTGTGCCTTCTTATGTTGAGGAAACTCAATTACATGTTTTAAATGTCCTTATTGAATATAGTAAGGTCTTATCAAGATATAAAAACAAAACTGGAAGAATTAACTGAGTGGGAAAGGGTACTATGTAGCCTTTGATACTATGGATTCATTTCTTAGCACTAAAAGGGGAAAAAGAAAGATCAAACAAGTCACTTGCATGGGTAGTAAATTTGGATTTACATCCTATAGCAGCTAGTCTAGAGGATAACTGGTAACCCACAAAACACATGTTAGTTTTATATGTGAGAAAAGAAGAAAATACATATTATAAAACATTGTGGGCTGGTAAAGTGGCTCAGTGGTAGAGTGCTTGCCTTGCATGCATGAGGCCCTGGGTTCTATTCCTCAGCACCACATAAACAGAAAAAGCTGGAAGTGGCACTGTGGCTCAAGTGGTAGAGCACTAGCCTTGAGCTGAAGAGCTGAGGGACAACACCCAGGCCCAGAGTTCAGGCCCCATGACCAACCAAACTGTATAATTTGCCTTAAATAAGGTTATACAATATTGTGATCTGTACTATGGATGATATGAAAGTGACTAGCGATGAAGATGGGTAGGGGCAAATAATAAGTTTTAATTTATTTGGTGGTACTAGAGTTTAAACTCAGGGCCTCTGCTTGCTAAGTAGGTACTCTGCTGCTAAGCCATGCCTCTAGTCCCCTCCCCTTTTTTTTATGTCCAGTTATTTTTAAGATACGATCTTGCTTCCTGCCTTGTTCCCCATATTTTAGCTTCTTGTAGTTGCTGAAATAGAGTCTTGAAGACTTTTCTGCCTAGACTATCCTGGATCTGTGATCCTTTCCTTTCAGTCTCAGGCAAGAGCACCAGTGTCCACTTATTTTTTTTCCTTTCTTTCTTTCTTTCTTTTTTTTTTGGTGCTGGTACTGGGGCTTGAACTCAGGGCCTTGTGCTCTTTTGCATGGCTGTTTCACTCAGGACTGGCATTGTACACTTGAGCCACATCTTCACTTCCAGGATATGCAAGACTGAACATTTCATACACATTTACAGAATAATAAAATGCTTGAGACAGAGCAGTCACACAGCAGAGCACTTGAGTGAAAGGAACACTAGCAAGTGAATTTATAGTCTATACTCTAAATGGGGTCTTTACTAGACTCCTCAGTGTTAAGCCCAGGATCAAGAAGTTTTTAACTACAAGTAGTTATATATTTAATTATAAATATAATATGGCTATAAGTAAGTTGTTATTGCATGTTGACAGTGGTTGCTTATTCTCCCTATATGTGGAAGCTTTCTAACTTCTCTTTTGGAGTTGATCTACAATGTTTTTATTTCCCTTGTCCTGGATATTTGGTATAAAAGTGAGGGATATTATTTTGCCAAATGGGGAGGTGTAAAATTTGGAGGTATAAAAATTGGCAAAAAAAAAAAATAGCAGATATTATTTTTGCAGATGAGGAGGCCTAAGTTTGCATTCACGCACAGTATGGCTCTACCTGTTTGTTTTCAAATCCTCATTAAGAAAATCCTCAATTTTTATTTTTTGGTTGTCAACTTAAAAACAGACCAAGTCATCCAACAGAGACTTAGATGTTTTCCTAACAATGACAGTCTTTCAATAATAAGAAATTGGGCTGATGCCAGAGGGCTCATGCCTATAATCCTAGCTACCCAAGAAGGCTGAGATCTGAGGATTGTTGTGAAGCTGGCTCAGGCAGGAAAGTCCTGAGACTGACTCCAAAAAGCTAGAAGTGGCGCTGTGTCTCGAGTGATAGACCTCTAAGCTTGAGCAAAAAAAGTTGAGGGACAGTGCACCCAGGCCCTGAGTTCAAGCCCCAGACACCCCCCCCCCCAAAAAAAAAAAAAAAGGAAGGAAGGAAAAATGATTTCTGGCCTAGCAAGTTGGTAGCAACTTGCTTTCTGACTGTGAGACACTGGGCAGCTGATTTCCCCTCTTTGAATCCCAATTCTCCTGTCTCCCTCTCTGAACCCCAATTCTTCTCTTCAGGATGAAACTTAGAATTTATGACTCTCGGGGGAGTTTTACTCACAATAAATAAATAGAAAGTATGTAGTAAAAGGAAGATGAGGGGCTGGGAAGGTGGCTCAGTGGTAGAGCGCTTGCCTTGCATGCCTGAGGCCCTGGGTTTGATTCCTTAGCACCACATAAGCAAAAAGAAAAAAGCTGGAAATGGCACTGTGGCTCAAGTGGTAGAGCGCTAGCCTTGAGCTGAAGAGCTAAGGGATAGCGCCCAGGCCCAGAGTTCAGGCCCCACGACCGGACACACCCCCCCCCCCCCCCCCAAAAAAAAAGGAAGATGAATAGGGAAATTAAGCTGGGGTGGGCTTACTTTGCCCTCTGGTGAGTAAGGCCAAAGATAAAGAGAAGTAAACCTTTCTGGAGAAGGCTAAATGACTCTTTCGTATTTTCAGTAAATGACTCTTTCTTATTTTCAGTGTGATCCGTCTTATCATGCAGTACTTGAAGGAGAACAGTTTACATCGGGCCTTGGCTACCTTACAAGAGGAGACTACCGTCTCTCTGAATACAGTGGACAGCATTGAGAGTTTTGTGGCAGACATTAATAGTGGCCATTGGGATACTGTTTTACAAGCTATACAGTCTCTGAAATTGCCAGACAAAACCCTTATTGACCTCTATGAACAGGTAAGAGGGGTGGTGATGTTGGTGCCTATAGGCTGGTTGGCTATGGCCCAGCCCCCTTACTGGAGAGAATTTGAGCATTCCTTCAAGCACTCTTGGGGGGTATAACTTCTTGTAAAACTTACTTTGTTAAGGCTTGACAATGTATTTTTATCTCCTAGAAAAATCCAAAATTTTTCCAAATTGAAATTTTTTTGTGTGGTTTTAGAGATCAAACCTAGGAGATTTGAAACTATTTCTCAACTGATCATTAAATGAATATTGTGATACCAGTTGTTATACTGTGATCTAGCACTAACCAGAATTAGCTAAGACCATATAAGTAAAATGCTCAGTCTGCTACAATATTGTTTTTACTGTAGATACCAACTGTATTTGGAGGGTTTCCAGGCTTCTTACACTTTTGGCTAACTACAAATTTGTGTGTGTTTTCATAAGCTATTCAAGTTTACTAATTCTCCAGTGACTCACAGAACTCAGAACTAAGTTTAATACTTAATAATTCTTGCAATTATGTTTTTTTTTTTTTGGTCAAGGATGCAGATCAGGACTAAACATTCAGGGAAAGGTCTGAGATGGTTCTAATATAGATATGAGGTGCTGTCTGTAGAATTAGGTTGCACTATCATCTGCCATGTCAATGTGTTCACCAAGCAGGAAGTGCCATTGAGGTTTTTACATAGTCTCCAGTTCCAATCTCCATCTTCCCCAATACTCCCAGAGGTTGGACTGACTGAAAGTTTTAACCTTCTATCACATGGGTGGGTCTTTCTGGTAATTTAGTCTCTATTCTGAGCCATCTCTTTAGCTCAAATTAAGGTGTGATTTAAGGTATTAATGAATAACAAAGATACTCTATTCACTGGCAATATTCTAAGAATTTTAGGAGCTCTAAGCTGGGGTCATAGGACAAAGACCTATTGATTGATTGATTGATTGATTGTCAGTCGTGGGACTTGAACTCTAGGCCTGGGCACTGTCTCTCAGCTCTTCAGCTCAAGGCTAGTGCTCTACCACTTGAGCCACAGACCCACTTCTGGTTTTCTGAGTGGTTTATTGGAGATAAGAGTCTCATGGACTTTTCCTGCTCCAGCTGTCTTTGAACCTTGATCCCCAGGTCTCAGCCTCCTGAGTAGCTAGGATTACAGGCGAGAGCCACCCTCGCCCAGCTTTGTGCCTGAGCTTTTTTGCTCAAAGCTAGCACTGTGCCACTCGAGCCACAGCTCCACTTCCAACTTTTTTTTGGTAACTAACTGGAGATAAGAGCTCATAGACTTTCATGCCTGGGCTGGCTAGGATTACAGGTATGAGCCACAGATGTCCAGCTCTAAATTATTTATTAACTAGGGTTTGAACTCCAGGCCTCACACTGACTAAGCAGGAGCTGTAGTGATTGAGCTGTGCCTCCATTCCTTTTTGTTTTTAGTTATTTTCTGGTAGGGTCTTATGTTTTTGCCCTAGGCCATCCTTAGATAGTGGTCCTCCTACATATGACCTTCTGCTTACCGAGCATTACAATTATATACTACAATGTCTAGCATGGAGTTATGCTGACTTTTTAGACTGGCCTCCCAATCTCTACCTCCTGAGTAGCTAGGATTTCAGGTGTGAGCCATTGTGCATAGCCTACTTTGTTTCTTCATAGTTTAGGTAAATTGAATAATTTACCAAGAAAAATTTTGATGATTGGAGAAAGGTGTCTGGAGTTTACAGAGGCATGGGACTATTCTCATCTTTAGTTTAGTTTTTTGTTAGCATTTCTATTCTAAACAGAAAACCTGAGAGAGATGGGTATATAAAGTGAGGTGTTGAGAGTAGTGTTACACCTTTGAAAATGGAGAATTTGGGAGGAGAAGGAAAGAAAGGAGGGAGGGTAGGAAAGAAGGAAGACATTGAATAATTGGAGTTGCTTATAGTTCATTGTTCATCTGAAATTGCTAGTGAAAAGAAAAAGTGATATAATATTTGTGTTGAATCATTCATCTTTTTTCCATTGTTCAGGTTGTTCTGGAATTGATAGAACTCCGAGAATTGGGTGCTGCCAGATCACTTTTGAGACAGACTGACCCCATGATTATGTTAAAGCAAACACAGCCAGAGCGGTATATTCATCTGGAGAACCTCTTGGCCAGGTCTTATTTTGATCCTCGTGAGGTATGACTGTGATATGAAAACTTTTATACTGAGAAAATGTATGATAATGTGCTCTTTCTTTGGAGTGATACTGAGGTTTCAACTTAGGACTTTATGCTTGTAAAGCAGGTTGTGTTATCACTTGAACCATGTAATTTTTCTCCTTTGGTCTTTATTTTAATCATTTTGGGGTTTTTTGTTTGTTTTGTCCGTCATGGGGCCCGAACTCTGGGCCTGGGTGCTTTTCCTCAGCTCTTTAGCTCAAGGCTAGCACTCTGCCACTTGAGCTACAACGCTACTTCCAGCTTTTTTCTGCTTATGTGGTGCTGAGGAATTGAACCCAGGGCTTCATGCATACAAAGCAAGCACACTATCACTGAGCCAACTTCCCAGCCCCGAACCATGTAATATTTCTTTAAAGGAAATAATTTTTTCTGATTATTTGAGATTCTTTCCCAACCATCCCTGTCCCATTTTTGAAGGTTGTGTGTTGGTTAATAGAGAAGTGAAAAGTTAGACCCAGAAAGAACAAAGTGCATTGACTGGCATTTGTTCTCTTTCAGCTTATATTTTTAAAATGCAATAGGTAGATTCTGGCAGCCATTTTTGAAAACTAAATTGGTTTAATTAATCCCATTTAACTGAGTAGTTTCAACTTTTTTTCCTCCAGTGTTTAGTTGTTTAAGTCCACTCCTATCTTCTTGTTACTTTTTGGGAATGATGTTACCTCCTCTCTTTCAGGCATACCCAGATGGAAGTAGCAAAGAGAAAAGAAGAGCAGCTATTGCCCAAGCCTTAGCCGGGGAAGTCAGTGTGGTACCTCCATCTCGTCTCATGGCATTGCTCGGACAGGTAATTAAATGACTATAGAAACTGAAGTTAACTCTGAACTTCTGGTACTGTTTCCTGTGTATAAGCTATATGTCTGAGCTAAAGAAATCGGACATCCTCTAAATTGGAGCCTATCTATGAAACTGCTTGTAGCAGCAGCTTGCCATGCTACTTTTCCTCTTTCTAGGGAAAGTCACTGTAGGTTAGTAGGTAAGAATGTAATCTCTAGCATAAGTTAGAATTAGGTTGGCCATAGATTTTATTATCCTGTGTGGGATACCATGGAGAGTTCTACTGATAACAATGTCAAGATACCAGGTACAAGTGGAACTGTCATGGGGAAACTGGCAGAAATGTTTTTTTGCCATAGAATCTAGACACTCTTACCAGTGATGTGGGGTCTTGGCAAGTGACTTAAATTTTGATTCCATTTACTCACGGTGTTGAAGAAAAGATTAAATGAATAATGCTCACAAAGTACTTTATCTATTGCCTGGTATAAACAATAAAAGATAGCTTCTGGGAATGATTTTTTTTTTTGGTAGTATTTTTAGCTTTGTTGTTGGCATAAAGCTACCTGGTGTAATAGATGTTTTATAAATAACAAAAGGCATAGTGATAAACAGGAATGTAAATAGATTCTTTGTGTTAAACCCGCAACTAGGAAAAAACCCAGAAGCTCTTTGTTATAGATTTCTAATGATTTTTTTTAATTTTTTGTTGTGCTAGATAGAATTTTTTGTTGTGAGATAGAACCCATGGCTTCATATATTTTAGGCCAATGCTCTGCTATGGAACTATACCCCAACCTCAGGTTTGTGATTCTGAAATTTGGAAGTAAGTTTTTTTTTCTTTTTTGGTAGTATGGAGTTTAAATTTAAGACCTTGTATTTACTAAGCCATGGCCCCAGCTCAAAACTTGTTTTTTTAATTGGCACGTAAAAATACTGCATATGTGTATATAAAATTTTATATTTGTATAAAATACTCTATATGAAGTTACCATGTGATACTTTAATACATATATACACAGTGTACATATCTATTCAACATTTCTTCTCTCATATCTTTGTAGTGAAAACATTCAAAATCTTCTATCTCCTATGAAATATACAGTACATTATGTTTATGCTACCCTATTATTCAGTAAAACTTAGAGCTTATTTTTCCTGTGTTTTTTAAAAAGTTGCTTTTTTTTGGCTGAGGATGTGGCTTAGTGGTAGAGTGCTTGCCTAGCATGCATGAAGCTGCCCTGGGTTTGATTCCTTGGTACCACATAAACAGAAAAGCCAGAAGTAGTGCTGTGGCTTAAGTGGTATAGTGCTAGCCTTGAGCAAAAGAAAGCTCAGGAACAGTGCCCCAGCTGGCTTTGAACTGTGATCCTCAGATCTCAGCCTCCTGAGTAGCTAGGATTACAGGCGTGAGCCACCAGCGCCCGGCAACTGGCTGTATTTTTAGTACTGGTACTATAGGAAATTTAATTTTCCAAATTTTGTTTATAATACAGAGCTATGCTTATAAGGAAAATAGGAGTGGTATAGATTTCTTGACTCTCAGAGTCTCCTCTGACTCAGATCAGGGTGTGTTTTTGAACATTCTATGTTGTGTTGGTTGACCAAAGATGATTAGTGTGTAGAAGACTGAGTTTCCTCTGGATCTCATCCTTTCAAGCTTGGCTTTATCTGAGTAATCATGACCAGGGCTTAAAAGCACTTTAATAGTTGCTATACTTTTGTTTTTATAGGCGCTGAAGTGGCAACAGCACCAAGGATTGCTTCCTCCTGGTATGACCATAGATTTGTTTCGAGGTAAAGCAGCTGTCAAAGACGTGGAAGAAGAAAAGTTTCCTACACAGCTGAGCAGGCATATTAAGGTAGTATCCTCAGACACTCAAGCTGGTCAGTAGTCATTTGTGTACAGGCTGTCACAGGGCCTGGTGAAGAACTCTAAGTCTGATAACACTGAAGGTTGCTGTTAATGTCCACTGAAGATACTGCTGTGGCCCGGTAGTGACACACCTTAAATGTATAGCCAAGTAGATAAAAATGTGATACTTAGGCTGGACACTGGTGGTTCACGCTTGTAATCCTAGCTTCTCAGGAGGCTGAGATTTGAGGATCACAGTTCAAAGCCAGCTGGGGCAGTAAAGTGCCTGTGAGACTCTTATCTCCAGTTAACCACTCAAAAACTGAAAGTGGAGCTGTGGCTCAAAGTGGTAGAGTACTAGCTTTGAGCAAAAGAGCTTAGGGACAGCACCCAGGCCCTGAGTTCAAGCCCCACAACTGACCAAAAATGAAAACAAAGGTGATAATTGGATCATCTGCTATTGCATTTCCTCTCAATAATCCCACACATAATAATCCTTAACTCTGGTTAAGCCTAGGACTAACTGTGAACTTTCTAGATTCTGGTAGAAGCATTTGTTGTTTTGCCTCCTGTATGCCATGGATGGTTAAACAGGTAGCTTTATGTGATAGATAACATCTTACAGTTTATTGTGTGTGGTGTGTGTGGTGTGTGTGTATATGTGTGTGTATGTGTTTTGGGGATCAAGCTTAAGGCCTTACACCTACTAGGTTAAGGTTAGTGCTATACAACTGAACTGTACAACCCTTGTATTTTTTTTTTTTGGGTCCGGTCGTGGGGCCTGAACTCTGGGCCTGGGCGCGGTCCCTCAGCTCTTCAGCTCAAGGCTAGTGCTCTACCAGTTGAGCCACAGCGCCACTTCCGGCTTTTTTCTTTTTGCTTATGTGGTGCTGAGGAATTGAACCCAGGTCCTCAGGCATGCAAGGCAAGCACTCTACCACTGAGCCACCTTCCCAGCCCCAACCCTTGTATTTTTATTTTAGTCTGAGGTTTTTCTGGGACAAAGTACAAATCAAGTAATTGCTACAGTTCACAAAATTATTGGAGCTTCTCCCTGGGTTTGTGCTATAATTTATGGATTTAAAAGTATACTGTGTTCTTCCAGTCATTGACTTGGTTTAACATTTTGACTTTGTCTTTCCTGTTATATGTTCTAACTTGAATATAATGTTATTTTTGAGCAATACCTTTATTTGTCCTGGTGGAAACATTCAGACAAGTAAAGTAGAAATCCATTATAGTTATGCTGCTGGACTAATTTTTTTGCCGTAATGATTTTCCATTTTTGCTATTAAAAAAAAGATACACATGAGACCTTTCTGGTTTCTACTTTTGTCTAAGTTCCTATAGTTTTCTTATGTTACTGGACCATCAAATGCTTAACATGCATTTTCTTGGGTAAACAGTCTATCAAGTTTAAATTAGGCCTTTTAGAATTGGTTATCACATGATTAAATAAAAGTCATAAAACAGTGATAGGAAGCTTACACATTAGTGTAGGAAAACACATACTATGTTTTGGCTATGCTGAGGGTGAAAATCACACTAATAGTAGCTGATTATAGCAAATCTCTCTCTGTTATTCCCCTTTCCTTTGGAAATAATCTCATAGTCAAAAATTTATCTTAATCTAAACATGTAGTCATAAAACTTGTCAGAAAAAGTAGACCAGCTTCTGATGATGTCAAGGTATAGAAATACCTAATTCTTTGGGCCAGCTATGACTTGTACAGGGTAAGGTTTCTCAAAAGGCTAAAACAAGAATTGTTTTAAGGCCATGAGATAAAAATTCATGTTTCATTCTTTCTTTTAAAACAGTTTGGTCAGAAATCACATGTGGAATGTGCTAGATTTTCTCCAGATGGTCAATATCTGGTCACTGGGTCTGTTGATGGATTTATTGAAGTATGGAACTTTACTACTGGAAAAATCAGGAAGGTAAAGTATTCTATATGTTTTAGCTTATAGAAAAATTACTTTTAATTATCTATGTCTTATTTCTCAGGTCGATTATTAGAGGAAGAGACTTTAAGTAATGAGCATGTATTTTATAATTCAAAAACTAAAGCTATTTTTAAAAAATTATTATATATTTATTGGAAAGGTGATGTACAGAGAAGCTATAAGTCAGGTATTGAGTACATTTCTATTTGAACAGTCTTACCTCTTCCCTCCTTTTTTTCCTTCTGGCTCCCCCTTCTCCTTTTTTTTACTTTTTGTTTTTTCTCCCCTCTTTTTCATCTTTTGTTTCTTTTGTTTCTGCACTTTTTTTTTTGTCGGTTGTGGGGCTTGAACTCTGGGCCTGGGCACTGTCCCTGCACTCTTCAGCTAAAGGGGAGGTGAGCACTCTACCACTTGAGCCACAGTGCCACTTCTGGTTTTCTAGTGGATTATTGGAGATAAGAGTCTCACGGACTTTCCTGCCGCTGGCTTTGAACCATGATCCTCAGATCTCAGCCTCCTGAGTAGCTAGGATTACAGGCATGAGCCACTGGCCCGCTGTTTCTGCACCTTTTGTCTTGTATGTAAGTTAATCTGATTTGAGGAGGAAAAGGGGAAGCACAGAAATGGTGGGACAAAGAGTGAACTAGGGGCTGTGAAGGTGGCTCAGTGGTAGAGTGCTTGCCTTGCATGCATGAGGCCTTGGGTCCGGCTTTTCTAGAAAACCAGAAGTGGCGTTGTGGCTCAAGTGGTACAGTGCTAGCCTTGAGCTGAAGAGCTGAGGTACAGTGGCCAGTCTGAGTTCAAGCCCCACAACTGGCAAAGAAAGAAAAAAAGAAAAAAAAAAAAGTGAACTAATGTAGCCAGTAATACTCACTAGACACTATGTTGAAAATGAACTAAAGCTATTTTAAATTCTGAATTTATTGTTCAGGGAAAACCTTGATAAGAATTGAAAGAATATTTTACAAAATTCATACTTTGAATGGGTAATAAAAAGTGGCATAACATTTAAGTAAAGAGTTTTGACTCTCACTTTCTTTCCTTTAGCAGTCATTTTTCTTCCTTAGATTGCCAAGTTAATACTTTCTTATTCTTCCTAGAATGTTCTGTATGTGTGTAAATAATTAATTTATATTCTTACCAAAGATTTTATATGGATGATATGATATTATACATGCTATTCTCCTTATTTTTATAATATTTTTTAGAAATAATTACTTTAAAACATTTTTTTGGTATGGGTTGAACCCCTATGTACCCAGTCACTTTAAGAGGATTTCTAATCTTTTTTTTTTTTTTTTTGGTCAGTCGTGGGGCTTGAACTCTGGGCCTGGGCGCTTTCCCTGTACTCTTCAGCTCAAGGCGAGTGTTCTCCCACTTGAGCCACAGCACCACTTCCGGTTTTCTAGTGGTTTATTGGAAATAAGAGTCTCACAGACTTTCCTGCCTGGGCTGGCTTTGAACCATGATCCTCAGATCTCAGCCTCCTGAGTAGCTAGGATTATAGGCATGAGTCACTGGCACCTGACAAGAGGATTTCTAATCTTAACCTAATTGTACTCCTAGTTGTATTTATTTTATGAATGAAGTTTATGTGAATAGTCATCAATGTTTCCTATTTTGTAAAGTCTGTTAGTATCCTTTATCATTTTCCTATTCAATTTTTTAAAAACTAGGGCTGGGAAGGTGGCTCAGCTTGCTTTGCATGCATGAGGCCCTGGGTTCAATTCCTCAGCACCACATAAGCAAAAAGAAAAAACTGGAAGTGGCACTGTGGCTCAAGTGGTAGAGTGCTAGCCTTGAGCTGAAGAGCTGAGGGACAGTGTCTAGGCTAGAGTTCAGGCCCCATGACCGGACCCCCCCAAAAAAACAAACAAAAACCCCTGATTTTAAGGAGGAGCTCTTCCTGTTTTGAGGAAATCAAAATATGTATCGCAAATATTTTTCAATTTTGATTTTGTCTTCTGACTTTGCTATCGCTTTATTTTATTGGCTTAATTCTTTCGTATCAAATTTATTCAACTTTTCTTCTATACGTTCTTTTAGTACTTGTTTAGTTTTTGTTTGCTTGTATTTTTTTGTGCTAGTATTGGGGCCTTGTGATCTTGTTTGACTTTTTCTGCTCAAGGCTGATGCTCTACAATATGAGCCATACCTCCACTTCCAGCTTTTTCCTGTTAATTAGAAATATGAATCTGATGTACTTTAATACCTGGTCTGGCTTCAGACTGTGACTCTCAGATCTCAGCCTCCTGAGACTACAGATGTGACCACCAGTGCCTAGCTATGTTTTTGTGACCATCTCTAATGAAAACAGATCTGCTCTGATCATTTTAGAGGAAGGAATGTAGAACCCAAGGTGTATTTTCATGCTCTAAGAAGACTTTCCTTAACCAGGGAAGTTAAGTTAGATGCTTACTTTTTTTTTTTTATTTTTTGTCAATCATGGGGCTTGAACTCTGGGCCTGGGCGCTGTCCCTCAGCTCTTCAGCTCAAGGTGAGCACTCTATAACTTGAGCCACAGCACCGCTTGTGGGTTTTTTTGTGTGTCTGTGGTGCTGAAGAATCGAACTCAGGGCCTCATGCATGCAAGGCAAACGCTCTACCACTGAGCCACCTTCCTGGCCCAAGGAAGTTAAGTTAGGAAAGATATAAAGAGGATATAGAGTGTATTGGAATAAAACTATTAAGATTATAGAGGGTGGGTAGGAGTAAGAGCTTAGCTTTATTGGAGAGGTTAATGAGAAGGTGGAGTAAGGTAAGTAAAGAAAAATTTAGTTAATTTTATGTCGAGTAGGGAAGGTAAAATGAGGAGAGTTATGTAGGTATATATACCCAGATTAAAAACCCAGAAGGTGCCAGTGATAAAGAACAAACAACAACAATAATACCAACAACAAGCCTAATAATGTTCGGGTGATTTAGTTACTAACTGTGAGTGTAGAATGTAATGAGGTAGAATTAGGGATGGGTGGCAGGAGTAGAAGAGAGTATAAGTAAGAGAAGGATTCTGCTTGAAGATGGAAGGATCGTATAAGTGGGAAGGGGATATGGGAAGGTAATGGTACTATGATTTGCAAGAAAATAGTGAAGGGTATTAGGATTTAGGTGATGACTTTGGAGAAAAGCAAGAGAAGGACAAGCAAAATACAAAATTAAATAGTAGGGAGTAACAGTCCTATGCTAGAGTATGGGAGTTAAAGGTCTTTATTCAATTTATACTAAAAAACAAAATAGGCACAAAGACCAATATTCACGTACAACAAAATGTGAATTTTCCAGTTTTTCTATGTTTATATATATATATATATATATATATATATATATATATATATATATATACATACATATACACACATATATATTTATTTATATATGGACTTCTCAGCAGTGTGCAAGAAGCTGTTTTAGGTCTGAGTGTGAGGACTTTGCTTCCCTTAGAAAACCTTACATGGAGGCATGGCCTTTGTTTAGAGGTCAAGTTGGTGATTGATGCTTCATTGCTTACATAGCAGGGAATCTCAAGACTGCTTTGCTTCCATGAGTCTGGCTGTGCCAGATGTTTTTTTTGTTTTTTTTTTTGCCGGTCATGGGGCCTGAATTCTGGGTCTGGGCGCTGTCCCTCAGCTCTTCAGCTCAAGGCTAGCGCTCTACCAGTGGAGCCACAGCGCCACTTCCGGCTTTTATGTGGTGCTGAGGAATCGAACCCAGGACCTCATGCTTGCAAGGCATGCACTCTACCGCTGAGCTACCTTCCCAGCCCTGTGCCAGATGTTTTGATCTGCTGTAGCTTGGCAGCAAGTCTATGTGTGTGCTGGGTTTCTGGAGTACTGCAGCTTTTCTGTGATGAGACCTACAGCTGTCACCCAGGTGTCTCTTCTATTTGTCTTGGCAGGAACTCCCTATCCTCTCATCTTCCAGTACTGCCTCCTGTTGGGCTTCTCCATCATCAAGTCTCAAAGCTATAACATAACTTCTTGCAGCTTGAACTGCTCAGCTAGTTCCTCTCTCAATGGTCCATCACTGTGTCCTCCCCTCATACTCTGTAACTTATTTATACCCAAGTTTAGAGCAAAGTGTCTTGTGGTTGTTAAACTGCCATGGTTCCTTGTCCCTGGGCTCCTAGAGAAAATGTTTCAAGCTGTTGACTCTCTTGCTTTCTGGGATATGGGGGACACGAAATAGTTTTCCAGACTCTCATAACAGATTAGTCACTGTCTCCCAGCACAGCACAGCCTTTCAGGTTTTATGCTTTTCCTGCTACAAAATTTGGTGATCTCCTGGTGTGACTGTGATTTTATTTGGTATTCCAATCTTTGGTTTCTCTTCTCCCAGCCAGGACAGCCAAAATCCAGATCCAAACTCCCTGCTGCTTTTCTACTCCTGTAATTACTTCTCTGTAGTTTCCTGGTCTTCTCCACCTTGTGGTTTCCTCTTCAGAATCTGGTCACTTTTATATCACCAGATTCTTCTCATTCATGGAGTGTAAATGGTAGTTGTAAGCTGGGCGCTGGTGGCTCATGCCTGTAATCCTAGTTACTTAGAAGGCTGAGATCTGAGGATCATGGTTCAAAGCCAGCCTGGGTAGGAAAGTCTCTGGAGCTGTGGCTCAACTGGTAGAGCACTAACCTTGAGCAAAAAGAAGCCCAGGGACAGTGCCCAGGACTAACTAGCAAAAAAATAAAAATAAAATGCTTTCATTCTGCCATTGTGCCCCCAGAATCCTTCTTGACCTTTTTATTTTGGTGGTACTGGTGTTTAAACTCAGGACCTTGCATTTGCTTGGCTTGCTTGCTCCCTTGGTGCTCTACCACTTGAGCCATGACTCCAACCTTACTATTTGTTAATTAGTGTGGAGATGGAGTCAGTCTCATGGACTCTTCTGCCTATGCTGGCTTCCAACTTAAATCCACTTAATTTAAAATTCAGTATTTGCTGGGCACTGTTGTCTCTTGCCTATAATCCTAGCTACTTAAGAGGCTGAGATCTGAGGATCAGAGACTTATCTCCAAAAAACCAGCAAAAGCCAGGAGTGGTATGCCTCAAGTAGTGAAACAACAGATTTGAACAAAAAATGCTGAATGAGAGCATGAGACCCTGAGTTCAAGTCTCGGTATCAGCTTACAAAAAAACAAAACTAAAAGATGTAAGATAGAAACTGGGGAAATTCTTCCTAGAAAAGGCCTAGAATATTATGTTTGTTTTTTAAATAGGATTTAACTTTCTGAAACTGACCCTTGAGTTCTAGAGTTCTTCTTGAACATGTCTGGGTTATCTTGACAGTTTTTTAAATACTACTAGTTTTAGTTATGTAAAATTATTTATTCCCAGTTCATTATGAACATACGTACATGACACTGATACTTGCTTTGGAGATTTCTAGTAAGTACATTCCATGATCCTGCTTTTAGTGAATTTCTAGTCATTCATGTGCTCACTGGGGCCTTGGTTTTTATGTTATTTTGATAACTGCTAAGCATTGTTTCTTTTAGGATCTTAAATACCAGGCACAGGATAACTTCATGATGATGGATGACGCTGTCCTCTGCATGTGTTTTAGCAGAGATACAGAAATGTTAGCAACTGGGGCCCAAGATGGAAAAATCAAGGTATGGATTAGTGACATGAACTCTTATATATAGAAATTTTAAGAGATATGTACACATGGTCTTCAGTATAGTAATAGATAATTACTTAATGAACTTCAACTTTATACTGATCACTTTACTGTTTCTTGTGTAGTTCTAATAACTGCCTTGAATGCTCCAATAATGTTAGGTCACATAGCTGGTAAATGATAGATCGGGGACTTCAGTCCAAAATTTTCCCATGTATGATTCTGTTCTAGATCACTGTATATGATGTATTGTACTTTGATTTTTCTTTTTCTTTTTTTTTGGGTGGGGGGGGGTGGTCGTCCAGTTGTGGGGCCTGAACTCTGGGCCTGGGTGCTGTCCCTCAGCTCAAGGCTAGTGCTCTACCACTTGAGCCACAGCGCCCTCTTCCGGCTTTTTTCTTTTTGCATATGTGGTGCTGAGGAATTGAACCCAGGGCCTCAGGCATGCAAGGCAAGCACTCTACCACTGAGCCACCTTCCCAGCCCTGTACTTTGATTTTTCTTTTATTGTTGTTGTTGTTTTATGGTATTAGAGCTTGCTCTGGCCAGTCAGGTATTTTATTTCTTGATCCATGTCCCTAGCTAGACCTTATAAATGTTTTTTCTCCCCTCTTCCTTTTTCTGCTAGTGCTGGGACTTGAATTCAGGGCCACACATTCTCACTTACGTGGTTTTTTCCCTCAAAGCTGGTACTTGTCCACTTGAGTCATACTTCCACTTCCTGATGTTTTTTCTTCTTTTTTGTTTTTTGGTGTGCCAGTCCTGGGGCTTGAACTTAGAGCCTGGGTGCTGTCCCTGAGTTTTTCTGCTCAAGGCTAGTTCTCGTCCACTTTAGCTACAGCTTCATTTCTAGATTTGTTTGTAGTTAGTTGGAGATGAGAGTCTTTTGGGTGGAGAGGGGGGTGGTTGGTACACTTGGAATGTAGCTTAGTGGTAGAGTGCTTGCCTAGCATGCATGAATCCCTGGGTTCAGTTCCTTACCACATAAACAGAAGCCTAAAGGGGCGCTGTGGCTCAAGTGGTAGAATGCTAGCTCAGGGACAGTGCACAGGCCCTGAATTCAAGCCCCAGGACTAGCAAAAAAAAAAGTCTTGGGGTCTTTTCTGACTGGGCTGGCTTTGAGATCCTTAGATCTCAGCCTCCTAAGTAGCTAGGATTATAGACATGAACCACCAGTACTTGGCTCTATTTTCTTTGTTTTCTTTTTGCTGTTCTTGGGGCTTGAACTCAGGTCCTGGGCACTGTCCCTGAGCCTCTGTGCTCAAGGCTAATACTCTACCATTTGAGCCAGAGTGCCATTTACAGCTTTTTCTGAGTAGTTTATTGGAGATAAGAGTGTCAAGGACTTTTTTTGCCTGGGCTGGCTTTGAACTGTGATCCTCAGATCTCATCCTCCTGAGTAGCTGGGATTATAGGTGTGAGCCTCTTGTGCCTGGCTTCTAATTGTGTGTGTGTGTGTGTGTGTGTGTGTGTGTGTGTGTGTGTGTGTTTTCAAGGAAATGATAGCTATTTACGTTATAGTTTTATTTAATTGCTTATACTATTTCACAGGCTAGATTCGATATAGTAATGGTCTCTGCTAAGTAATCATTTTATTTTATTTTATTTTTGCTTGTCCTGGGGCTTGAACTCAAGGCCTGGGCACTGTCCCTGAGCTTCTTTTGTTCGAGGCTAGCACTCTACTACTTGAGCCACAGTGCTACTTTTGGCCTTTTCTGTTTATGTGGTACTGAGGAATTGAATCCAGGGCTTCATGCATGCTAGGCAGGCACTCTATCACTAAGCCACATTCCCAGCCTTTATTTTATTTTTTGTCAGTTGTGGGTCTTGAACTCAGCCTGGGCACTGTCCCTCAGCTCTTCAGCTCAAGGCTAGCTTTATACCACTTGAGCCACAGCGCCACTTTCATTTTCCTGAATGGTTTATTGGAGATAAGAGTCTCACTGACTTTCCTACCAGAGTTGGCTTTGAGCCTTAATCCTCAGATCTCAGCTTCCTAAGAACTAGGCTACTCAGGAGTAGCCTAGCCACTGGCCTTAAAAAATTTTAAGTGTAGCTAGGCACCCAGGACCTTCTGCAAACATTCCTACTACTGTTTGTTCCCTAGTCCTGAATATTTGTTGGAGTAATTTGTAAGAAAGAGTTTTAAGTTTCACTGGGATCAACTGACAATGTTCTGTGTGATGCAGACATATCATATTCAGCTATTAGCGTACATTTTTAATACTGCTTTGGTATATTAGTGAGTATAGCATCTTATAGTGGAACACTCCATTTACAAGTTTTGTTTTTTGTTTTTAAAGGTGTGGAAGATTCAGAGTGGACAGTGTTTAAGGAGGTTTGAAAGGGCACACAGTAAAGGTGTCACCTGTCTAAGCTTTTCCAAAGATAGCAGTCAGATCCTTAGTGCCTCTTTCGATCAGACAATCAGGTAAGTAATAATTCCAAAATTCTCCTCACCTGGATTTGATAAAGTAAGGCCCCAGAAGGAGAAAATAGTAGTGATTCTTTATTTCTTCATCAGGATGGGGGGGGGGTGATAGGAAGAGTCAGGGTATATTAGGCCTCATTTCCCCACAGTATAGTTGACATAGTACTGTCTTTTTGTCCACTTGAATCCAAAAGGGAATATTGCAGTGTTTCATGTTTTTGAGGGTGGTCTGTGGACCCATTTGTGTCATAATCATCTTAGAGAGCTTGCTACATATAGATTCCTGGGATCCAGCTGAGGCCCAATGATTCTGAATCTTTATTTTATTTTATTTTTATTTTTTTTTCTTATTTTTTTTTTTTGGGTCCGGTCGTGGGGCCTGAACTCTGGGCCTGGGTGCTGTCCCTCAGCTCATCAGCTCAAGGCTAGCACTCTACCACTTGAGCCACAGCGCCACTTCCGGCTTTTTTCTTTTTGCTTATGTGGTGCTGAGGAATCGAACCCAGGGCCTCAGGCATGCAAGGCAAGCGCTCTAGCACTGAGCCACCTCCCCAGCCCCTGATTCTGAATCTTTAATTACTAGATTTTTAAGAGTCCAGTCTTTGGGATAAACCACCTGCGGTAATATTAACACTTTCTTCTAGTCTGAGCAATTTAGTTTTGTTTAACTGTTTGACATAATTAAGATTATATTGTATACATGCTAGCATTATCCACTTTTTTACTTAATATTATTGCACAGAATTCTGTAATTTGTCTGATAGTCACTCAACACTTAGCTCCAACCATAATATATAAACTATTTTTTTTTCCTTTCCTTTTATTTGTGATAGAATTCATGGTTTAAAATCTGGGAAAACCCTGAAGGAATTTCGTGGTCATTCCTCTTTTGTTAATGAAGCAACATTTACACAAGATGGACACTATATTATCAGTGCTTCCTCTGATGGCACTGTAAAGGTTAAGTATTTGAAACTGGTTCCTTTTGGATGTCTGCTTTACTTTTGTTCTTTGAGAAGGTTGCAGTCATGATAATGGTAATGAATGTGTTGGAGTTATTGTCTTACCAGTCATGACTGGTAAGACAATTTTAGTCATGACTGAGGTGAGTCTGAGACACAGTTATAGTCTATGTGTACTTCTTATTGGACTGAGGACCACAAATCTCAAACTTCTATAGTCCACACAAGCTTTATCACGTGGAGAAAAAGAGGAAGGGTATGGAATCCTAAATTTCAGTGTTCTCCCATTCAGATATACACAGTAGTTAAATCTGTCTATAAATATAGCCAACCCTTACAATCAAATTCACAAGACTTATTGGGCAAATAAATACATTTCTTTTTGAAATAATGAAGATTAGTACTACATGTACAGTATGTCACACAACTTCACCCATATCCTCAAATTTAGGGTCTGCCCTAGCATTTATACTGGAGTGGGAGAAGTCAAGTTTAAACTGAAATAATGGCTCTTTAGTATCTTAAAAGATGTAGTTATTTAAAGAAAGGCCTCATTTCCTGGAAAAGGTTTGAGAAACTGAAGCAGAAAATTGGTAGAAAAATCTTTGAAATGCTTCTTTATGAGCTGCTGCTATTTAAATTGCTAGATATTAGCCAAGTGATTTGTGGTAGAGGATCTAAAAATTTTTAAATAAGCACTTAGAAGTCAGACCGCCATCTGAAATTGTTCTTGATTCAGCATTTAGCCATAAATCTGAAAGTAAGAGTACATGTACTCTCCCATGGGATGTGAAGGGAAACACACAAAGTGCTTTTAGTACTTTAGTCATAGGATTTGCCTTTTTTGTGTTAGGAAGGTAGGACTCAATCTATGCATTGACTTGTCTAGTCCTCTTTGTTTTATAGTTTTTCCTCTAATGCAATGTGAGGGGCAAAGCGTGGCACTGATCTTTTAAACAGAAAACCCTAGAAGCCTGAGAACATTGATCCTTGAAATGTTTATTTTTGTCCTAGACAACTGGTCTTCAGAGAGAAGATTGGGGCAAGTCATAAGTGTTTATATGGAACAACCTGTGGGTAGCTATTTCCTCTGGTTTATAGATGTTTTGCCGAGCTCTGTGTTAGTCACAGAAGAAATAAGACAAAGCTGTGCCTTAGAGGCTTTTATAATTAAGTGAGTGGTGTCGGACAGTGCCACACAATGATTAATCCATCTCTTCTCTAAGTTTATCTCAGATTTTGAGGCTGTCTGGTTTAACTCCCTTCAGTCATAAAAGGCAAGAAGTGTAAGGTAAAAACTGGGAAAAGAAATATAGCCAGGTGGTTTATGCTTCATAGATACTCTTGTATGCCAGCATTGTGACTCTGCTGTTCTTAATAAAGATTGTAACTAGAATTATTGTGGAACTAACAAATAATTGCCTATACCTATGTCTCAGCCCAGACCTTATCAAGTCAGAATTTTCAGGTTAAAGTACTATGCAAAGCCCTCATTTGGTTTTGATTACCACAAGGGTAGAGTTGCTGTATTGTTTTTTATTTTTTTTCCAGTTTATTTTTAATTATTTTTTCCAGTTCTGGGGCTTGAACTTGGCCTGGGCACTGTCCCTGGTTTTTTTTGTTTGTTTTGGCTTTTTTTTTGCCTAAGGCTAGTGTTCTACCACTTAAGCCACAGCAACACTTCTGGCTTTTTCTGTGATTAATTGGAGATAAGAGTCTCAGGAGGAGCGGGGAAGGTGGCTCAGTGGTACAGCGCTTGCCTTGCATGCCTGAGGTCCTGGGTTCGATTCCTCAGCACCATATAAGAAAAAAGCCGGAAGTGGCGCTGTGGCTCAAGTGGCAGAGCGCTAGCCTTGAGCTGAAGAGCTGAGGGACAGCGCCCAGGCCCAGAGTTCAGGCCCCACGACTGGACCCAAAAAAAAAAAAAAAAAAAGAGTCTCAGGACTTTTGCTTCCCCCAGCTGGCTTCGAACTGTGATCCTCAGATCTCAGCTTCCTGAGTAGGTAGGATTACAGGTGTGAACCACCAGCGCCAGGCCCAATTATTTATTTATTTTTATTTTTGCCAGCCCTGGGGCTTGAAGTCAGGGCTTGGGCACTGTCCCTGAGCTTCTTTTATTCAAGGCTAACACTCTACCACTTGAGCCCACAGCACCACTTCTGGCTTTTTCTGTTTATGTGGTCCTGAGGAGTCAAGCCCAGGGCTTCATGCATGCTAGGCAAGCACTCTACCACTAAGCCACATTCCCAGGCCCCAATTTTAATTTTTTTAAAGGCAGATTCTTAACTCTGTAATCTAAGCTGTCCTTGAATTAACTGTTCTCCTGCTTCAGCTTCTCAGGTGCTGGGTTCAACAAACATAATGGTTTTTTGTAACAATAGCAGTGTCAATAAAGAACTAATATCAAAGATGGGCAACATGTTAGGAAGACAATATAAGAAAATACAGATTTTTAAAGTGTTATATTTTCATTTTTATGTTGATAAATAGGTGAATGATTACTATGTACATGAAAATACTGGGTATTTGATCTAAAAGTTAAATAAGCTTTTAAAAAAATAATTTTAGGGCTGGGAAGGTGACTCAGTGGTAGATCGCTTGCCTTGCATGCCTGAGGCCCTGGGTTCGATTCCTCAGCACCATATAAGCAAAAAGAAAAAAGCCGGAAGTGGTGCTGTGGCTCAAGTGGTAGAGTGCTAGCCTTGAGCTGAAGAGCTGAGGGACAGCACCCAGGCCCAGAGTTCAGGCCCCACAACTGGACCCAAAAAAAAAAAAAAAATTTTACTCTTTTTAGTTACCTAATTTCTAAGCCTTGAAATTAGAAATTCTTAAATTTTTGTATGGTAGATCTGGAATATGAAGACAACAGAATGCTCAAATACCTTTAAGTCCTTGGGCAGCACTGCAGGGACAGACATTACTGTCAACAGTGTGATCCTGCTTCCTAAAAACCCAGAACACTTTGTGGTGTGCAACCGATCAAACACTGTGGTCATCATGAACATGCAAGGCCAGGTGAGTGCTCAGAAAATGCTTTTGCACTGGATCTGGTCCGCTATGGGTCCACTACTTTTAAATAGTGTGAACTGTATTTATTTTTCAGACAATTAAATTGTAGCTCTATAAAACATCTCTATTTCAGAAGTTACCTCCTTTCTCCAGGGTGTTTTTGTACTGTGATCTTCCTTTTTTCATCCTATGGGTAAATAGGCTTTGATTTGTCTAAAACCTCCTTTAGAGACACACTATTTTAATCTTTGTGTTAGGGAGAAGCATGTGGTGCAAGTATTAAAGTGGATCTCTAAAAGGAGAAAGGCAACTGTGTCCTCCTGATGTGAAGGTTTTCAAGGAATTTTACTTTGGGGCCCATGAGGAAGCACTGGGACATTAGTAATGTCAGGGTTCAGGTCTCAAATCCTAAGCTTGTGTATTGTAATGTTATTGAAACGTTGGCCTGGGCATTGGGGGTTTCTGCTGAGAATGGAGAACATGCATGGCTGCTGTATGCTACTCACTTTTCATCCTTTGATTCCTATAATTGATGAAGTAGTAGTTAAGAATTCATGGCTGAAATGGCTGGTCTACAGCGCGCACAGTAGTCACAGCTGCCTAGTGCATCAACTGAACATACTTTATAGTATTCTGCTTGACCTCTAAAAAGTTATTTTGAAGCAAAACGTATTATAGGTTCTTACTATATATCCCAGGACAGCCTCAAACTCAATAACCTCCTTCTTTGGCCTCCATAGGATTACAAAGGTATGCTCCTATTGCCCAGCTTTTCAAAAATTTGTTGAAAAAGTAATTCCAGATTCAACTAGACAATGAAAAAATACAGAGAGATACTATATAGACTTCTTCCAACTTCCTGGGATGATATTTTACAAAACCATAGTATTACAATGATCAAAACTAGGAAATGGATGTACTCATTACCTGACTCATAATTATAATCCCTCTGTACATCACCTCTATAATTATAATAAAGTAAATTAATTTACATAAAACTAGGGGATAAAATTTATGTGATATTCATCAATGAATTACAGACCTTATTTGAATTTCGTCGTTTTACAGGCTACTGGGGTTTGAACTCAGGGAGGGCCTTGCACTTGCTAGGCAGGTGCTCTGACACTTGGTCCTATGCCCACAGCACCCTCTACTTATTTGAAACCAAAATAGTTGTGTGAAGTTTGATCATATGTATAAATTCATTTAGTGACGACTACAATGAGATTAAGAACTGTTTTATCACTCTCAGAGAAATTCATACTTGCTATATATCTTCTTGGTCCAACCCTCCCTCCAGTCACTCCTAGTTGCTACTGATCTCTTTTCCATTATTATGATTTCATTATTAAAAAATACTTAGGTTATTTTGTCTGGGACTGGTGGCTAATGCTTGTAATCCTAGCTACTCAGGAGCCTGGGATCTGAGGATTGAGACTCAAAGGCAGCCCAAGCAGGAAAGTTCCTGAGACTCTCCAGTTAATCACTAAAAAGCCAGAAATGGAGCTGTGGCTCAAGTGGTAGGATGCCAGCCTTAAGCAAAAAAAATGCTCTGGGACAGCATCAAGTCCCTTCGTACAAAAATTTATACATGGCTCTGACCCATAAATGCAGTTTTCTTTATTCTTAACATCCCCTACCAGAATAGTACATTTTTTCTCCCAGTCATGGGGCTTGAACTCAGGTCTTAGGCACTATACCTGAGCTTCTTTTGCTCAAGGCTAACATTCTTCTACCACTTGAACACCACTTCCAGTGTTTTTTATGTGGTGTTGAGTAATTGAACCCAGGGCTTCATGCATGTTAGGCAAGCGCTCTACCACTGAGTCACCTTCTTAGCCCCAGAGTAGTACATTTGTTAAAACTTACATTGGCATATCTCTGTCATCCAAATGCCATAATTTGCATTCAGGTTCAACCATTCTATATTCTGTGAGTTTGGGAAAATGTGTTATTACCTAAAAGATTCTTGGTTCTCTGCCTAATCATCCTTAACTTCTTCTCTGACTTGTAGCATTCACTCATTTTTTATCATCTTCATATTTTTGTTCTCTTCAGAAAGTTATATAGAAAGAGATATTCATAGAGCCTTTTCACAGATTGGTTGCTTTCACTTAATAATGATGTTTAAGTTGTCTCCTAGTTTTTTCATGGCTTAATATCTCTTTTTTTTTTTTTTTTTTTTTGGTTCCGGTCGTGGGGCCTGAACTCTGGGCCTGGGCACTGTCCTTCAGCTCTTCAGCTCAAGGCTAGTGCTCTACCACTTGAGCCACAGCGCCACTTCCGGCTTTTTTCTTTTTGCTTATGTGGTGCTGAGGAATCGAACCCAGGGCCTTGAGCATACAAGGCAAGCGCTCTACCACTGAGCCACCTTCCCAGCCCATATCTCTTTTTTTTTTTTTTTTTTTCTTTTTTCTTTTTTGTTGGTCATGAGCCTTGAACCTCAGGGCATAGGCAGTGTCCCTGAGCTCTTTTGCTCAAGATACAGCAATCTACCAATTTGAGCCACAGTCCCACTTCTGGTTTTCTAGTGGTTAATTGGAAATAAAAGTCTCATGGACTTTCTTGCTCAGGCTGGTTTTGAACTGCGATTCTCAGATCTCAGCCTCCTGAGTATGAGTAGCTAGGATTATAGCCCTGAGCCACCAGTGCCCAGCTTACTCATTTCTTTTGGTGCTGAATAATCCTTTGCCTGGATGTGCCACAGTTCCAAGTTTTGGCAATTAATAATAATGCAAATGTGGAAATCATATGCAGATTTTTGTGTGAACATAAATTTTCAATACTTTGATTTAAATACCAAATAGTGTATGATGGCTGGATTGTTTGATGAGTTACATCGAATTTTGTAAGAAATTAAAGACTACTTTTGAAAGTGTCTATGTGATTTTTGTATCCCACTAGCAATGAGTTCTTACTGTCCTTCATCTTTGCCTTACTGGATGCTATTGTTTTGGATTTTGGCCATTATAATTGATATATAGTGCTATCTGTCTTCTTTTAATTGGATTTCCCTAATGGCATGAAAAGATGCAGAACATCTTTTTTTGGGGGGGTGGGGTGGGGGGATGGGGGGGAGTGGGTTCCGATCATGGGGCCTGAACTCTGGGCCTGGGCGCTGTCCCTCAGCTCTTCAGCTCAAGGCTAGTGCTCTACCACTTGAGCCACAGTGCCACTTCCAGCTTTTTTCTTTTTGCTTATGTGGTGCTGAGGAACCGAACCCAGGGCCTTATGCATGCAAGGCAAGCGCTCTACCACTGAGCCACCTTCCCAGCCCCAGAACATCTTTTTTTGTCAGTTGGGGGGCTTGAACTCTGGGCCTGGGTGCTGTCCCTCAGCTCTTGAGCTCAAGGCTAGCGCTCTACCACTTGAGCCACAGGGCCACTTCGGCGTTTTCTGTTTATGTGGTTCTCAGGAATTGAACCCAGGACCTCATGCATGCAAGGCAAGCACTCTACTACTGAACCACCTCCCAGCCCTACAGAACATCTTTTCATATCTTATTTGTCATCTGATATTGCCTTGATGAGGTATCGAAGTCATCTTTGGCATATTTTTCAGTTGGGTTGTTTGTTACTATTGAGTTTTTTTGTTTGTTTGTTTTTGTTTTTTGGGTCTGGTAGTGGGGCCTGAACTCTGGGCCTGGGCGCTGTCCCTCAGCTCTTCAGCTCAAGGCCAGCACTCTACCACTTGAGCCACAGCGCCACTTTCGACTTTTTTCTTTTTGCTTATGTGGTGCTGAGGAATCGAACCCAGGACCTCAGGCATGCAAGGCAAAGCGCTCTACCACTGAGCCACCTTCCCAGCCCTACTATTGAGTTTTAAGAATTCTTTGTAAGTCCAGTGCTCGTGACTCATGCCTATATTCCAAGCTACTCACAAGGCTAGATCTGAGGATTATAGTTTGAAGCCAACCCAGGCCAGAAGAATCTGAGAGATCTTATCTCTAATTAATTTCCAAAAAGCCAGAAATGGAGCTGTGGCTCAAGTGGTAGGTATAGTGCTAGTCTTGAGCAAAACAGCTCAGGGAAAGCACCTAGGAATCTTTTGAGTAAGAATTCTTTATCAGATATATTTTTCCCAGTTTGTGGATTTTCTTTTTATTCTCTTTGAAAGTAACTCTCACAGAGTAAAGAATTATTTTTTATTTTATTTAGTTTTGGAGTACTAGGGTTTGAACCTCAGGGCTTTCCCATTTCATGGAAGACACTGCCACTGAAGCCATACCCCCCGGCTTGCATTTTTTATTTTAATGAAGTCTTGTTTGCCAGTTCTCTCCTTTATGGATTATGTTTTTGATGCATCTAGAAAGTTATCAGTAAACCCAAGATCAACTAGATGTAATCATCAAGGTCACCTAGTTTTAGGTTTTGAATTTGTCTGTTGTGATCCATCTTGAGTTAAGTTTGAGGAAAAGTATTAGGTCTGTGTGTAGATTCATACTGGTTTATTTGCCCTTTTTTTGTTCATTATCACAGTATCTCAGTTATAGCTTTTTAAGTCCCGAAGTCAGGTAGTGTCAGTCCTTTAACTCTTCCTTCCTCCTTTGATAATGAGTTTGCTATTCTGGGTCTTTTGCCTTTCAATATAGACTTTAAAATCAGTTTGTTTGTATCTAATAACTTTCTGAGATCACACTGAATCTATAGATCCAAACTGGTAATATGTCAAATCGTCAAATCTTCCTATTCATGAGCATAGAATATCTATTTAGTTCTGTCATATCTTTTATCAGATTTTTGTAGTTTTCCTGCCATAAGTCTGTGTACTTCTTTTAGATTTATACTTAAGTATTTCACTTTAGTGAAATTATATTAGTGCTAATATAAATGACATTGTGTTTTTAATTTCAAATAAATCTCAATCCCTAACCCTTGGCAACAGCTGATATGTTCTTCATTATAATCTTGTCATTTTGAAAATAGCGTACAAGTAGATGGAGTCAATGTGTAACCTTTTAGCCCTTTTTTGTTGTCATTTTTTTAAACATTTTTTTATTATTACTA